AGGTAGGTTATGGCAGGCCCTGACCTTACTAGGAAGAGGAAAGATATAACCATGTACGTAATTTATCATCTGAACAAACACGTATAAAGTACCTACCACCAGCCAGGAAATGTGCTCCGTGGTGGAGATATAATAGATAATATAAGAGGCAGAACCTGTCTTTGGGTGGCTCATACATTTGTGGAGAGATAAGACAATAATCAAATAGTGTGAACAAAAGTTCAGAATGCTCATGGGCCTGGAGAGCAGAGAGCTGAAAGAAGCATAGGAGAAAGGGAAGACAGGGGGCAAAGGGCCCAACATGAGGAGAAGAACGAAGCTTTGGAAGAAAGAAATTAAGTTTGCTGGAGTTGGATGAGGAAAAAGTGGTACAAGATGAGGCTGGAGAGGCAGCTACCCCAGGGATCTTGGTCTTCATCCTGGGAGCTTTGGGGAAATCCTGCAGAGGTGCACAGGATTAGACCTATGATTTTAAGGGATTACACCAACTGAAGTGTTGATAGGAGGTGATGCATTGGCCACAGCACATGCAAGGAAGCCAGCTAGGGGGCTGCTGCAGTTGTCCAGGTGAGGCAGGAGGATGGACTGGTTGATGGGAGCACAGAAGGGGACTGGCTAAGATGTGCACATCAAAAGGCATGCTCAGTTAAGAAGTAGGAAGGACAGGAAAGATGATGCTTTCATACCTAGTTTACTTTCAAAGAGGGACACTTAGCCATTTTTCTAAAGAAGGTTGCATTATCATCATCATCCTGCTTCCTCCCTCTGGCAATCCTTACTATAAGGAAGGCCAGCATTCATCGTGCTGGTGGTTGCTGGTGGCTGGTGATCTCAGAAGCCTCCATGAGGCAAATAAAGGTTTCTCCTTGTTTGGGGTTGTAAGTTAAGTAAACCAAGTCCAAGGCAAATGATAAACTGAGAAAATCTTTAGCAACATATACAACATACAGAGCATTAATATCCTTAAGAAGCTCTTACATGCCAATAAAAATATGCACTTTAAAATAAAAGTGATATAAAAAAAACGAAGTTTGCAAATATGTACATCATCAGGATGTTCATTGCACCATGGTTTACCACAGGAAAAATAAAATATCAGATGCATCCAAATGTTCGACCAATAAATTAGAGAATGAACACTTATACTATGCAGTCATTAAAAATGGTGATGTGGTCTCCGAATGGCCAAAACAATTTTGAAAAACTGATAACTAATCAGAAGACACATACTTTTTAATTTCAAAACATAGTACAAAGTTATGGTAATAAAAAAGCTATGGTATTGGCTTAAAGACAAACATATAGACCAACGGAATAGAACAGAAAGCCCAGAAATAAATCCTCACATTTATGATCAAGTGATTTTCAGTAAGGGTGCAAGACTATTCCATGAGAAAAAAGACAGGCTTTTCAACAAATGATGCTGAGACAAGTGGACATCTACCTATGAAAGAATGAAATTGGACCCTCACCTTAAACCTTAAACCTTAACTCAAAATGGATCAAAGACCTAAATGTAAAAGCTAAATCTGTAAAACTCTTAGAAGTAAAAATAGGAAGAAGCTTCATGACACTGGATTTAGCAATGATTTCTTGGCTATGACATCCAAACCACAGGCAACAAAGAAGAAATAGACAAATTGGCTACATCAAAATTAAAAACATTTGTGTGTCAAAGGACACTATCAGAATAAAAAGGTAGCCCTAGTTGGTTTGGCTCAGTGGATAGAGCGTTGGCCTGTAGACCAAAGGGTCCCAGGTTCAATTCCGGTCAAGGGTACGTACCTTGGCTGCAGGCTCCTCCCAGACCCGGGCTGTGATCGGGCTCATGTGGGAGACAACCAATTGATGTGTTTCTCTCACATCGATGTTTCTCTGTCTTTCCTTCTCTCTTCTACTCTCCCTTAAAATCAATGGAAAAATATCCTCATTTGAGGATTAACAAAACAAAACAAACAAAAAAACAAAAAAAGAGTTAAATTTAAAAAAGAGAGAGAATAAAAAGGTAACCCAGAGAATGAGAGAAATATTTGCAAGTCATGTATCTAATTAAGAGATTAATATCCAGACTATATAAAGAACTCCTATAACTCGTGAAAACAAAAACAAAAAAGCCCAAACAACTCAATTAAGAAATAGGCAAAGGAGCCCTGGCCGGTTTGGGTCAGTGGATAGAGCATTGGCTGGGGGACTGAAGGGTCCCAGGTTCAATTCTGGTCAAGGGCACATGCCGGGTTGCAGGCTGGATCCCAGTAGGAAGTGTGCAGGAGACAGCCAATCAATGATTCTCTCTCATCATTAATGTTTCAATCTCTCTCTCCCTCTCTCTTCCTCTCTGAAATCAATAAAATACATTTTTTTTTTTAAAAAAATGGGCTAAGGACATAAACAGGAATTTCTCCACAGAAGATATACAAATGGCCAAGAAGCACATGAGGAGATTCTCAACATCACTCCTTATTAGGGAACTGCAAATCAAAAACACAATGAGATATCATTTCACATCTATTGGATGGCTATAATCAAAATAACAGAAAATAAATGTTGGCAAGGTTGTGGAGAAATTGGAACCTTCGTGCACTGTTGGTAAGAATGTAAAATGGTGCAGTCACTATGGAAAACAGTATGGCAGCTCCTCAAAAAAAATCAAATACAGAATTACCCAATGAAGCAACAATTCCACTTCAGGTGTGGAATATACCCAAATAATTGAAAGAAAGGACTCAACCAAATATTTGTATACCAATGTTCATAGCAACATTATTCACAATAGTCAAAGGTGGAAACCACCTAACTACCCAACTACTTCACTGACAAATGAGTAGATAAACAAAATGTGATGTATATTATTATATACAGTCATGCAATGCCTAATGACAGGGATACATTCTGAGAAATGTGTCCTTAGGTGATGCTGTCATTGTGTGAACACCACGGTGTACTTATACAAACCTACATGGTATAGCCTAATACTATAACTACATGTGCTTTACCTTTATATGACTGGCAGCACAGTAGGTTTTGTTTACACCAACATCACTACAAACAAGTGAGTAATGTGTTACGCTAAGAAGTTAGTGGCTATGATATCACCAGGCAACAGGAATTTTTCAGCTCCATTATAATCTTATGGGACCATCATCAGATATGTGGTCCACCGTTGATCAAAATGTCATTATGTGGTACATGATTGTATATTTATATATTAAACATATTTATTTACTAATGGTTACCAAATATCTATATATTAGTAGAATAGTGGCTGCCAGGGACTGGGGAAAGGAGTAATGAGTAATTTTTATTTAATGGGTAAAGAGTTTCAGTTTAGAATGATGAGAAAGTTCTAGAGATGGACGGTGGTTATGGTTGCACAACAATGTGAACGCACTCAACACTGGTATTGTATATACTTGAAAATAGTTAAAACGGTAAGTTTTATGCTATGTATAGTTTACCATAATAAAACAAAGTTTTTAAAAATGGTGATGTACATGTCTTAAAGGACTTCTATATTATGAAAGGTGGAAAAATAGGTTACAATACTGTTTGTACAGTGAGATCACTTTTCTGTTTAAAAACAAACTTTTTGCCCGCATGAGCCCAAAAAAAGTTTTGATTTCCATCTTGGGCTAGAGCTGTGTTCCCTATGTGTGAGGGAGGCTGGGAAACTGAGTATTTAGCTTTCTTCACTCAGCAGGAGAGGAAGGATGGGTGGCAGACCAAGCCACTGCCACACCAGGGATGGATGTCCTGAAACCCACTCTGTCCCTTTTCCTTGTGTATCAGTTAGCAAGTGAGACTAGCACATCTGCTCAGTGCAAAGAATGCTACAAAGATTGCAAGCTCCTATGGCTTTTCTCAAGATTTATACTACTTCTAAGCGACAAACCAAAGTACCATCTAAACAATATTGTTTGGGTAAACTTAATGTCTGCCTGCTTATGAGCTGTACCAGGTAAACACTTAAGATCAAGTATCCCTTCGACGGGGGGTAACACCATTCCTTTCCTAAAGAGATGCGTGCAGTAGCATAATCCAGTTCACAGTAGTCCAGCACTGTCCTCTGACTGTATTTGTACCAGAAAGAGTGCTATGAAATGCTGACTTAATAAAAACTTAAAAACACAATGACAGGTCGGAAAGAAGTGGGCTGGGAGTCAGAAGAGCTGGGTCTGAGGACAGGTTTTGCCACTTGCCACCCGAATACTCTGTCATTCAACATGTTACTGAATCTATGTATCAGACTCTGGGCTATGTACTGGGAGGAGAAGGGAGGATGGAAGTGCCAAATATACAAGATAATCTGTCCTCAATAACAAGATATTTTATTTGGGCAAGCCCCTTCATCTTGCAGACCTTCAGCCTTTTCATCTATAACTCAGACATTACCAGTCTCAAAGTGTTATTGGGAAATAGGGTAATGATATTTCAACCTTAGTGCCCTTGACGTTCTGGGCCACAGAAGGCCTTGCTGTGTGTGTGTGCTGGGGGGAGGGGAGGAGTGTTCCATGCATTATAGGATATTTAGTGGCATCCCTAGCCTCTACCCACTAGATGCCAGTAGTTCCCAGGCCACTGCTCCCACCCAGTTACGACAACTAAAACTGTCTACAGACATTACCAAATGTCCCCTGAAGCAAAATTCACCCTAGTTGAGAACCTCTGAAATCGGGTGACATATATGAAAACATTTTAAAAGGCACAAAGCTCCAAATCAAGTCAGTTTTAATGTAAATCCATTTATAAGATTACTTCTAAAAAAAACCCTTTTATAAATTTACAGTTTCCCTGGGAATGTTTTATTTTCTATTTTCATATATTTTGCCCACCATTAAAAACCCTTCAGGGCTTTTTGGCTAATTTTCTTTACCCAAACAAAGCATCTTCACTAGAACACATATTTTAAATGTATCACTTTACTAACATGACAGTCAGAGTCAAACATAATTGTCATTTCTACAAAGCAGACATTTTATCCAAAATTAGTGCTCTGTGCCTACCTTTTAAGGACAAGGGACTGGATCTTGTGAATTCTGTATTTGACGGCCTGTGCTGTTTACGAACTTCCAAGTACTCCTTAACTCTTGAATTAATGGTTTCTTTTAACAGTAAACAGATTTCCTATAGTAAATTAAAAAATTAGAGATAACTTTCTGATTTAATACAATGCAAAAAAAGTCAACATCATGCACATTAAAAAGTTAACAGTGAACATTTCATTTTGTTTGCTTGTTTAGTTAGCTACGAATGCTGAGAAGAATGTTTTATGTACTTATAGAGAATACTGGAGATGCAAATTTGCTACTGAGGTTTGTGGGCCCACTCTGTGATCTGAGAAATTCATTTAATTTTTCTTTGCTTAGTTTCACATTTCTAAAAGGAAGATAAAAACACCTCAATGTAAAAATTAGAGTGCCAGCCCTGATTGGTGTGGCTAGGTTGGTTGGAGTGTACTGAATGGTTGTGTGTTCGATCCCCATTTTACCCCAAATTAAAGTGCTCTGTGCCTACCTTTTAAGGACAAGGGATGGATCTTGTGAATTCAGGGCACACAAGGGAGGCAGCCAATTGATGTATCTCTCACACTGATGTTTATCTTTATTTCCCTTGTTCCCTCTCTAAAATCAATTAAAATAATTTTTAAAAAATTATAGTGCCAAGGTGATGAAATCAGTGAGGTGAAGACTATTTTCATATAAATATCAACCAGTTCTATTGAGACACTGAGAGCCCCAAACAAGTGCTCACAATGGCCAGACAGAAGACTGTGGACGAAGGAAGGAGCCGGGGAATATTCAGAGGGAACCCTGACACACTCAATGGGGCAACCCCCAGGGCTTAATGTGGGGATAAATACAAGGCACAGTATCACCAGATCCTCCAATTTGTTCAAGAGGAACCAGAAACTTCTATTTTACACAAAAATTTCCCATTTTTCAAATGTGGTTCTAAAACTTAAAATCTAAACACTGCCATTCATTAGTTTCTGGCCTCAGGTTTACAAATCTACCAAAAAAGGGAAAAGCATTGAGTAGTGAATTGAATAGCAAACTGGAAATCAGTAATCTGATTTTTCCCCATACTCTTGTTGATGATACTGTATATACCCATTTGCACTATATTCACCTATTAATGATTAAAATAATTTAACTTTTCATATTTCTCTAAAGTAGATTAATATTTATTAGATAACAGAAGCTCATGGTTTTAATTCAATGTCAATATACCATACCACAGCAAATTTCTACAGCTGTCTATTGTTTTTATGTATCAATCCTATATAACAAAAGGCTAATATGCAAATCGACCAAACGGCGGAATGACTGGTCACTATGACACACACTGACCACCAGGGGGCAGACGCTCAATGCAGGAGCTGCCCCCTGGTGGTCAGTGCGCTCCACAGGGGGAGCACCACTCAGCCAGAAGCTGGGCTCGCGGCAGCGCTAAGCCGTTAGTTGGACATCCCCCAAGGGCTCCCGGACTGCGAGAGGGTGCAGGCTGGGCTGAAGGACCACCCCCCCCCCCCACACACACACACACCCGCTGAGTACACAAATTTCATGCACCATGCACCGGGCCTCTAGTGTTATTTATGAAAAGAAAAACAAAACTTTAAAAGTACAAACATGCACTGGGAAGAAACTGTCCACATTAGCCATACTAGCAGAAAGGTATTATTTAATGTAGGAAAAGGAAAAAATGCACACTAATCTAAATTTCTTAGATTCAGACATGATGCATAAGGACTGATAATTCTGGTTCAATTCCCAAAGACTCTGAAGAAGGCTCAGAGTTGCCGAGGTCACCTCAAACCTGTTCCACTGGTTTCTTGCAATGCCATCTCAGATTAATCTCTTAGAATCTTTATAAATTAAAACAAGAACAAAGTTTTAAGTTGCTTCAGAGGACAATGAGAGCCAAACTTGACTTTTATTGTAAACACATGTACTTCTCAAACAGTATAGAAAACACTAGATTTAACTCACAAATGTGAGTTTTTAGGTAATATGCAAAACTGGTCCCCTCTCTTCTGCTCTCATTTTGCAGCCCAAAGATGCAGTGCCTTGTGGAATACAGAAATATCCGTTTACAGTTGAGTGTCTTGGCATTGTTCACACAACAGAAAGGCTGCCTTGCCTCATACTGTTGTTTTAACAATTAAAGAATTTTGCTTCACATGCAGGGTTCAACGATGACTGAGCCTGAAAATATGTCAAAGACATACATGGAAATAAGAATTGTTAAAATTTGGCCATAAATGCCCTATAAGGCTAGAACTAAAAATAGAATGACAAAAATAAAGCAAAGGCCATACACACAAACTTTCTCCCTATAGTTACGGGGCTTTCCTTCGATGAGTCAGGTTTGACAAATGGAAGGTAGACCACGTGCAATGTAGTCAAGATACCCTAGTAACAGACCACACCACACTTAGCAAAGCATTCTCTTCAGAACCAGAGCAGTGCAAGAGGAGACAAATTCCCAGTGAAACTGGAGGGGCAGATGAGAAGACCAAGTTAAAATCAATGAGCAAGAGAGATACATACAGAATCTCTAGGCTAAGAGGGGCTCATGTTTGCTTTTTTAAGTTTGTACATAGAACAGTTTGAGTTCAACTGTTTGGGTACACAGACTACTTGTGCTGGACTCTAAATAAACATATGTTTAATACATGTAATTAGCTCCTCTTTCTGAAAAGGAACTGCATATTCTTAAGACTTTTACTATATAAAGTGGCTATTAAAATGCAATCAAATTGATTGCTCATGAAATCTCAAGCATGAGATAGATGATCTAATGATGAAAAAATGAAAGCACTGAGACACTGAACATAAGATGAAGCCATATAGTACTTTTCTTGACTAGCCTTTCTCCCTACCACCCTCATTCCCTCATTCCTCCATGTCTGTCTGTCTGTCTGTCTCTCTCTCCCCTACACACACACACACACACACACACACACACACACACAGTTACCCAAGAGCAATTTTTAATGTTAGTGGACATACATTAAAGAAATTTAAAGGAACTTCGCATTGGGAGCAAAGCCCAGCTTTTTGGCATGACTCGCCCTCTTGCAGCTGCCACTGCAGCGAGGTCTGCAGGTCCGATCGTGCACTGAGCATCTTTGCTAAGTCATGCCCTGCTGCTCAGATGTAGGTACTAGGTGGAGTGGCACAGCTGTGTGTGGCACCCTGGAAAAATCTAGCCTCATGCTTTGGCTAGGAGGTGATTCACATACCCACAGCTTTATTTTAAAGCCTTCCAAATAAACTGACTCTTGGCAAAACTGACTGAATATCAACAGAAATCTCTAAGGCTAAGGTGGTAAAGTTGGGAGAATTATAGAGGGAAATATGGATTCTAGAGTGCTGTTAATGTAAGTCAAGTCAGAAGCCTTTTGGGAGAGGTCCCCTCAGTCACTTTGGGGAATGAACTGTTTTGAATTGAATCATGGGGATGTGTGTTGGTAAGCCAAAGCTTGGAATTATATGAAAGTGAGCTGTAGTAGGAGATACTGGCCTACTAAATATTAAGTCTTGATGAGAACAAATCACAGTTATTTACCTGAAGGGTAAATCCCATCATACAGGATCTTGTGCCTTCCTTCTCCCAGTTTCAGACCACCACATATTATGAAATTATGACAGCAAAGTCCCCTAATAATTTTATTACCTTTTGATTGAAAATGATTTTTTAGGGAGATTTTTTTCCTAGTGATCTCCAAAAGCTGACTGAAAAGTTATCACAGTAAAGTTTTGTGTGTGTGTGTGTGTGTGTGTGTGTGTGTGTGTCATTAGCACTAGTGTCTTCTCTAGGCACCATCTTTTAATAAAACGTAGTTTTATTTTTAGCTCTAAGAAGCTTTGTGACAAATGAATACCATAGACACACAAAGTGTATATTTTGAAAGTTACTTAAAGGCCATTGATTGCTTTGCTGTCTGTGCTCAGTAAGCAGGGATCTGAAGAAGGAAGCACAGCATGGGATGAGAGTTGATGCACCTTCTGACCCTCTTCCAAGGCAGCACTCGGGTGGGGAGCAGATACAGAGCCAGGAGTGACTCAGACAGCTCTGTGGAACCCTTTCATTGCAGATGAGGAGGCCGAGGCCAGGGAGGTCAGATATCATGCTCCCAGTCAAACAGCTATTCACTGTACTGCCTCACCATCCCTTAGCGACTGAGTGTGGTGAGAGAAGGAACGCTGTTAAACATCTCTGCACTTGTTGTCACAGGCTCATGCTAATAAAAGGATAGTGGAAGATAAAAGTGCGCAAGACTGGGACTTCACACAGGTGTGAAAGATCAGCCTTGTGTGAGCCCCCACACCTGCTCCAGGTGCTCGGTCCATCCTGCACAACCAATCAGATTAAAATCCCTGCTTACCTGGAATTGTCACTTTAACTTCTTCTTGTAATACTGAGTACCTCTGCCCTCAAAACAAAGAGGTAGGAACTTTCTGGTTTAAATGACAGAGTAACATATGAAATGTATGAACCTGTCATTGTCTGAAGGAAAATAAAAAAGTAAGCATATGTCTGCCATTGGGAAGATAACACCTATTTTTCAAGGATAAAATCTCACTCAATATTCTTGTCCACCAATTAAAATGAAAGCTTAAGAGGGCTAATATTTCTCCTAGCAATGGTTACTTGTATTTAGATAGTGAAAAGTCTTGTGGTACCTCTTTGTTCTGTTCAGAAAACCAGCTGGTGTCTTTGTTTGATCCTTGCGGTGAGATGTGAAGATCCACCAGGACAGCAAAATCCCCGCACTGAAAGATAGCGAAGGCAGATTCAGCTCACACCCAGCAAACGATGAGAGGAAACTACACAAATTCCTATGTGGCTACTCATGAAATAGCAACGAAGTCCACTACTAGACAGAAATGTTCATAGCAGGCAGGGCTACCAGTCATAACCTATTACTCTTTGCAAGCTTAGTATTTAAGGTAGAAATGCTAAGGAGAAATGTCATTTTAAATCAGGATAGAAAAGACAACATATTTATCTCTGGGCTACGCCTTGAGGGGGATGCGCAGGCATCCAGAGGCAACTGGAAGACTTTCAAACACTGGAGAAGTAAAATAGGTCAGAATTAGGTGGACTCCAGGGAAGAATGATTCTGTGGACAGCCAGCAGAATTCTTTCTTCTAGCTAGGAGAGAACAAATATGTAAGCTCCTGTATTTTTAGGTAGAAAAAAGGATTGGCAGGGACAATGCATCTTGGAATAGAAATAGAAGCACGAATGGAAGAAAAGAACCAAGGAGAGAAAGGCAGATGCTGAATGACAGTTATCAAAACTACATAAGTTTCATTCATACCCTACAAACTGTATACAAGGCCTGTCTTCTTTCTTATTCTGCTAGAGGCCCAATGCATGAAATTCATGCAAAAGTAGGCCTTTCTTCCCCCGGGGCAGGCAGCTTCCCTCTGGCACCTGGGACCTGGGCTTCCCTCACAGCCCTGGCTTCGTGCAGAAGGTCGTCTGGAAGGACATCTGGTCTAATTAGCATATTATGCTTTTATCATTATAGATAGGCTAGTGCTGTGTGGCACTTGTGAAAAAAATGGAAATACTGTATCTGCACTGGTTAACAGGGTAGCCAATAGCCATACGGATACTGAACACTTGAAATCTAGCGATTGTGATCCACAAGCTAAATTTTTAATTTTTATTTGGTTTTACTTTAGACAGCCACACATGGCTAGCAGCTCTGTGACATAGCTACAGACTCTGTAAAGAGCTGTAGCCTTAGAAATCCTCACCCTTATGAATAACTTCTGAGAGTCTCAGGATAACTGTGGAAGACCTACCTTAGAAAGGAATAGAAGACCAAGACTATAGGTAGAGGGTAGTCTAAGAGGCCCAGAGGGTCTGTTTATGGCCCATAAGAAAAAACACTTTTGTACTTCTTTGGCTAACAGGTTTTGTTTTTATTTTAAATTCTGTGCAATAGGTGAAAAGAAAGTATTTTCAACTAATGATGTGAGAATACCAATTATAAATATGGAAAAAAATAAAAAGAGACCTACCTCACACCATACACAATAATTAATTTGAGATGGATCATAGACCCAAACATAAAAACCAAACTATCTTCCTGACTTTGGGGTAGGAAAAGATTTCTTAGACAGGACCCTGACCCAGAAAGCACTAAATATAGAAAACAAAATGGTTCAATTGGACTTGTCAAATTTTAAAACTTTTGGCCATCAAAAGATACCACTAACAAAAGGAATATGTGTGTTATAGACTGGGAAAAAAAATACTCATTAATACACATATCTGACATAAAAGATGGGCATCCATGCCTCCCATGCACTGAGAGGTTGCTGGTTCGATTCCTGGTCAGGGCACATGCCCGGGTTTGCAGGCTCAATGCCCAGTAGGGGCATTGAGGGGCAAGAGATAGCCAATCAATGTTTCTTTCTCTCCCTCTCTAAAATCAATAAAAATATATTTAAAATTTTTTAAAGATGGGCAAACAAAATATGTAAAGAACTCCTACAAATCCAAAAAACCCCACAAACAATCTCAACTTTAACAGACACTTCACAAATAAGAAAAACAAATGGCTAATAAATACATGAAAAAAGTGTTCAACATCAGTCATTAGACAAATGCAAATTAAAACCACCAAGAGATACAACTATATACCTCTGAGAATGACTACAATTAAAAAGACTGACACACCAAAACTTGGTAATGATGTGGAGCAACCCAAACTCTCACACATTGCTATTGGAAATGTAAACTGGCCAACAACTCTGAAAAATAGTTGGTCAGTTTCCTATAAACATACATTTATTGACTGACAGCCAGCAATTCCATCCTATGTATTCACCAAGAGAGATAAAACATGTGTGCACAAAAAGACTTGGAAGAAAATGCTCACAGAAGTGTTATTCATAATAGCCCAAGTCTATCTACAGGAGTATATTCATTCAGTGGATATATTCATTCAACTAGACTACTGATACACTCAACATGGACTAATCTCTAAAAAATAATGTTAAGCAAAAGAAGCCAGGCTAAAATATATATTGTAGGCTTCCATTTATATAAAGTTCTAGAATAGCAAAACTAAGTCTATGGTCAAAGCAATCAGAACAATGATTGCCATAAAATATACACAAACACATGATAAAATACATTTTTTTTTAAAAAAAACAACCCAAAACAGAGTAACTGCCTAGGTAGAAACTGACTGAGAACGGGCACAAGAGAACTTAATGTGGTGATGGGAATGTTAAATATCTTGATAGCATATGTGCCTAAGATCAGTTCCTTTCCTTATCTAGCAATAATACATCAATAAACAATGCTTTTAAATGCTGAGTAAAACTATGTTCATATTTGTTAACAGTTATTTAAAATGTAAGTATTATGTCCCAGAAAATGTGTGGGTATTTTGGGGAAACCAAAGTGAAGTTCACTGGGTAATAAATCATGAGGTATGATGAAAGTTGATCTCCCCTAATGTCAAACGGTACAGTGTGACTTACTGCACTGCAGTTTAGTGTGTTGCAACAGGCATTTTATTTTAGTGAAAGAGAATCTTGAAATGGGATTAAGAAATATCAGTGGGTCACATGGTAAAGTGGAGTATTGTTTTAGGAGTGTACTGAGTTATGATGTAAAGCCCATTTCTTATTGTGGCCTGTGGTCAAAACTGTTTGAAAACCATACTCAAATATACTGTTATTTTAAAAAATTCCTTCACAACAATGATTATACATTTAACCTTTAAGGAGTATGCTGCCACCAGGTGGAGGTCTTTTGCCACAACTACATGATCTTAGCCAGGGGTTATTAACCTCTCATATGCCATGGACCTCTGTGGCAAGCTATAAAGCTGATAAAAATTGTGATATAGTAATGTATGTACTTGTTTAAGGCATTGGCTCTTGTCAGCTAGTGGTAGATATAACAACTATAAATCCAAAGTAGTGATAAACATAAGCTATATATTCAGACTAGAGGCCTGGTGCACAAAATTCGTGCACTTTGGGGGGGGGAGCCTTAGCAGGGCCTGCGCCCTCTCGCCCTCTCGCAGTCCAGGAACCCTCAGGGGATGTCCAACTGCCACAGAGGCAGGAGAAGCTCCCGCCACTGCCACTGTGCTCACCAGCCATGAGCCCAGCTTCTGGCTGAGCGACACTCCCCCTGTGGGAGTGCACTGACCACTAGGGGGCAGCTCCTATGTTGAGCAGGATCAGGCCAAAACCAGCTCTTGGACATCCCCTGAAGGGCCCTGGATTGCGGGAGGGTGCAGGCCAGGCCAAGGGACCCCACCAGTGCATGATCAAGGCTGGGGAGGGATGCGGGAGATTGGCCAGCTGGGGAGGGACTGCGGGAGGGCTCCAGGGAGTGTCCAGCCCATCTCGCTCAGTCCCAATTGGCCAGACCCCAGCAGCAAGCTAACCTACCAGTCGGAGCGTCTGCCCCCGGTGGTCAGTGCACGTCATAGCAAGCGGTTGGGCGGCCTCAGCATATCATTAGCATATTATGCTTTGATTGATTGAATAGACGACCGGACACTTAATATAATAGACTTTTATTATATAGGATATGTGCCACAACTATAATACAATATGAAAAGAGATTTGATTTCTAGTGGTGACAAATATTGCTAATACTATTATGTTCTGAATACCTTACTCATAATAAAAAATACATTTATTAGAACTTGGTCAAAATAAAGATGTTAACTTTCTTTCCCACCCAAGTTCATGGGCCCTGTGAATTCTACCACAGGCCTGCTGAGGCTCCATGGGTTGCAGAATGAGAGCCCCTCCGAAGCAGTGAGGTGTGCCTCAGACATTGCTAGTGGATGCAAAATGTAATGTAACACATTGCAGTGGGTGTTCTACCCTGACTCCTCTTTGCTTCCCCTTCTTCATTAGCAAAAATAATTTTTAAAATAGTAAAAAAAAAATACCATGATGCTTCAACAATCGCGACTGATACTATGTAATAGCTATGTAATAGTAACTTTCTAAAGAATTAAATAGCAAGGTCCAATTTGGTATTTTCTCATCATTTTGCAACTTTGATCCCAAATAACTTAGTGTAAGTTTGATCATAAACAGACTGATTAGAATGTCTCTTTAATTTTTTTAAAATAAATCATTGTCTTACTCTGGTGCTCAAACTTTCCCAGGATTTCTGCCAGACTCCAGCGCGGGGCAGGCATGCAGCCCCTCCCCCACAGCAGGCTCTCCCTCTGCAGCCAGTTCTGAGTTCCCCAGCAAGCTCTCTCCAACTCCCACACTAATCAGAGGTATTTTGCCTTTCTAAAGTTCCTGCTCTCAGAGCTTTGCTGCTGCTTTTCTCCCAGGAGTAAACAGAAGTTGGGGAAGAAAAAAAAAAAGAAGCCTCTCACTGCTGCCAGGAGCACAGCCTCTCCTCCTCCTTAATTAGGAGGTTATTTCTACTCTCAGCAGATAAACTCTCCAGCTCTCTTGGGGGGGGGGGGGCAGGAGGAAGCAACACGCTAGACATCACATAGACATCACATCTTTCTCAGGCCAGAGCTGCTCTAGAGCTGCTCTTTAACAGGACAAAGGCCACTCAAAAGAGCCCTGGGTTGTGAGTAAACAGACCAGGGTCTGGTCCAGCTTCTAGCCCTCTCCACCCAGAAGTTTCGGCCAAAAACCTGGGCATCAACCCTAACTCCTCCCTTTCCCTAACCCTCCACACTCACCAAGTCTCCCAGATTTTACTTCTTAAAGAGCTAAACACACCCCTCCTCTCTTGTTCTGCATCA